CAACGTATAGATTGTAGCTGATATTCTTAAGACTATACTAGATGTTGCAGAAAAACCATTCTACGGTTGGTCGATATTTGTCAAGAGTAAAATAGAAGCTAATTTCGATTTCACACCGCCGTAAACCGCACTTGTTTTTGCACCAATCTAATATAAAGCCATTGTATATGATGTTTATCATTCACATCATAGTGATCAAACGGAACAAAATCCATATGTACCGAGATCATCACCGCAAAAGATGTTCTAAGAAACGAAGAAGATGTTATGTACATGCCAGTTGCTAACGCTCACGACTACGTGAGTAGTAGGCGGCAAACTGATTTATTCGTGTCCACAAACAGCTTTTGCTGGCTATAACTTCCACTCATCTGCGACTTTGATGTGCTTAGGGAAATAGTCGTGTGGTGAGCTTCGAAACCACGATCGGTGCCTAATAGGGCTAGCAAAGTTGGACTTCTGGCCCTAAATGTTCTTTATTTATTCTGTTCAATGTTCTTTATTTAGATCTATTTATGATGAATCATGAGCCTCGTGCGGGCATGGTGAATAATAATATCCAAACACGTACACTATCAGTTGCAAATTTGTTACGTCTCCGATTTGAATCCCTATATGGCACCGAAAGACGTAGTATAACAAAACGGCCTGCAGTACTAAAATCCTAGCATTAACCGCTTGACTTCTGCGGAACCGAAATGGATGTGTCCGCAAGCGTGGGAGCGATGCCACCTCCTCTGCCCTAAATAATCGCCGACTTCAGTATCACCTTTCTTTGCAAGATCCGCAAATGAGTCTTGGATTGATTCACGCGGTCTTGCGACAAGAAGTAGTACTGTAGCCTTCGACTAACCGGGACAGAGGATGTGGCATCGCCCATGCTGGCGCATGGGCGATGCCGAGATCATCCTTGTGTGCACGACATCTTGTAGAGAAACAGCTGCAGCTATCACTTGTCGTCCGAACCATCTCCTGGCCAAACGCACGACGCGTACGACGATAGGTTATCTCAATAAAGTGGCATTACCACTAAAGCTCATGACTTGGAAATCGCTTTTTTTCCACCTTCGATACCGTTCATTTGACTATAGATGTTCTACTCCTACGTTGATTTTTTTATTATCAAAAACCGAACAGTTATTAAAGCAAAGACGGCGGAATTTTTGTGAAAGATTAAGAGATATGCAGGGATGGCACAAATGTGAGGCGGAAAAAAATAAATCGTGTCGTAATTGGTCGCAGAAAAGCAACTGCATTGAGGCGTCAGTTCAAGATGTAAGACACACAAATGCTACACTCTGATGAAATTGCAATGTATCGGCATCGGAAAGTAAAAAAGACATTCTTAATAATACGAATGAGGTGAGCGTTAACTGAGACTTTCGTCACACTCTCAAAATCCGGATTTTCTTATGAGATGGATGCTTGCAGGGCTCTGTCAAATTCGAGAAGATTCTCCACGATGTGCAGGTGAATAAAAATTTGTTGCTGCTCTTATCGCACATATCGTAAAAAAGTGTCATTCCGCTTGTATAACGGTTGCAAACTCCCCAGTGCTTTGATTTACCTCTGAAACTGTATTTTAGGAAATATCTAAAAGGTCCTGAATACAATTTTTTATAAAAAAAATGAACAATTCGACTCATTCAGAACCTCAAGTTTTGAAATAATCCGAAAAGACTTAATCAAAACATTGCCCAAAGCAGCAATGGTGAATCTCGCAAGAGAAATCTACACAGAAGTGCATTTATGATTTTGATATTTCTATTAATAGATAACGGAAAAACTCAGTCGCTAGTCTGTGAAATTGCTGCGCAATACGCGATGGCTTGAACATTGAATGCAAACCTTTTGCTGACTGAAGCACCTTAAGTAAATTGAGAATTGTTTTAGAGAGCATTCCTCTCATTGTGCAAGTCCCGCCTTAGTAGCAAGCGGCGTAATGAAATCTAAAGATTGCACTTGTTTCAAAGATGATGGCTAAAATTCTATGAATGTCAACATGATAAATTTTATTTTCATTTGCTTAGCGAATGATCCATCGAGAGCACCGTAGCGCTGAATAATCACAGGATCTGTCATGACTTTTTAGTGGAAGATGATTGAAGCTGAATAAGCAGTTGCAAATTGTTTTGATAATATGCGACAAACAGTTCCGCTACAGTATAGTATGATAAAGGTTCTTTATTTAAAAGGTGGACGACTTAATAGTCAATTCATATGGTAGAAGAAAGAGAAAAGCATTCTGTTTGAGAATCTTTTCTGGAATTCCGGCCTAAGCAAACACCGTTCTATTTTAGTAAATATCATCAAACATCACCCCTCATTCATCAAATAGTACAATATGAGGCTCAGTAACACTCATATGTAGTTCGTTTCCAATTCCACTCACATGTATTAGAAATATATTTGCCAGAAACACGTTTGAAAACTCAATAAAAAAGGTTTGAGAGCTTTCTAAAGTAAATACGAACATTAGGGACTACTAATCGCGTGAAAGTGAAAGCAACGATAAAAATAAAAGTGATTATGAGGACGAGCAGAACAAAAAAAATTAGCGAAGCGCCATCCTAAAGAGTAACCCCGTAGAAAAGCTTTCTTGAAAAGCGTACACGAGGTTTCCAAATATAAGATAAATTGAATACAGTGTAGTACAACAAGAGAAGCCGACGTTTCGGCGTTATCACCTTCGTCACTGCGTGGAAGGGTCGGGTCGCGTTGCAACCCAGTCAGACAAACACTTTCTGACCAAAGCAGAACAGACTCGATACATTATCTAAGTCACAAGGGCTCTACTAAAAGCTCACCGTTTCATTTTTACGGGTCGTCCAGCGGCACAAAGCCTTGCATGGGCGAGAAGTGCGCCTGGCTACGATCGAATAAATAATTAATAATTGATCCTATTGAGTCATTGTAAGATTGCTGAGATTTATATTGTAGACTTTCCCACAATCTCGACGTAAGAAATCTCGAGCGAAGCGAAGGCGATGATCCACAACAAGGACGAACAGCAGTGGATGATTGACTTGAATAATCGACTTTGAAGAAGACGAAACGCGTTGAAACGTTGCCCGAGTAAAGCTTAATTCTCGACAACTCTGAACCGTGTGTGCGTTGTACCCCATAAACCAGAAATCTCACTAAGAGTTGAGGAGATGAACAATGTGGAATTGTTAGATCGTTCCATATATTTTGGCGCTAGAGCAATGAACACCAAATTTATTAGTCAGAAATAAGTAGTCCAGACTGTTTCCTCCAGCTTTGAAGTCTCCGAACCTAATCCCAGCCGTCTTTTCTGCAACTGTATCATCGTCCCAAGCTCCATTAATCTTGTGCTCCGCTTCACTGGTATTTTCTCCTTCGCGCCGTTCGTGCACTAGCAGTAAGCAATTTTTTTTCACCACCAACTGCTCTGTTTCGAGGGAATTAGAAGCAAGCTGTATACCAAAATGTTCGCAAGAGAATGAGCAGTTAAACGATATCAAAATTATGCAATTTCCATCACTTTTGGTTATCAGAATTGGCGTTAATTTTTCTAATGCCAAATTTCTTATTATGACATAACATTTACTACCATCTGAGAACAATTTCTGCGCATTACACTTGCGCTGCAGTGGAGTGCATGAATAGAATGTAAATTAAAAGTAGACGAATTCACATTGCCAAATTCCTAAAAGATGGGCAGTATGGATCTGAGACAAAACTGGTGTCAGCTATTAGAGGTTATTGAGAGCTATTATTCCGGGACAAATACAAGCTAAAATGTAAAACCTCATTTAGACTTCAAGTATAAACGGTTAGTATTTTGGTATCAAGGTCGATTTAAAGCAAAAAACTGGATATCCATTTTATACCGTTGAGGGAAAAGTACATGAAAATAATATGCGTGCTCCATCTCAACATGATTCTGAATTTTACTCTGTTCCTGCAACCCTTTAGTCATTACAAATCAGTTCACAAGTCAGAAAGATTAGTGACTACACTAACCTAGAAGGTCGTACATATTGCAGAAATTTCAAATTTGAGAGCACTTGCGCCAAAAGTGACACAAAAAACAAACACACAAAGTTTTCCAGAATGTGTGCACTGAAAAATTACGAGAACACCGCTCTTCATCTTATTGCTGAGTTTCGCAGGTGGACAGAATTTACAAAGTATACATTGATAATTTATCCCAATCTGGTTCGGCTTATCATTTTCGGTTGTTTCAAGCATTCGCCTTCCCTCTCACACCACAGCATTACTTTCATTTTAACTCAGATACCAGCATTGATTAAGAAGTTGATCGAAAGCGATCTACACAAAACACAATAGTTCATTGATCTATCACTTCATTACAATTATCGTTCTCATGTTATCAAAATACTTATGGCAATGAAGATAATTAGATTGGATTGGGTTATCCCAAATTTTCTTCGCATTGCGAGACATTTGCTGATTCAAAAGTTATTCTTGAAGGAATCAATTGTTCAACAATATAATCATCATCAAGACCAATGACAAACCATCATTTTCTAGGCAAGGATGCCATCCACCCAAAAAACGAGGAGAGTGGCCAAAGAAGTCGCTGAGATCACTTTTGAGGTGATTGTAGTCTCTGAAATGTTTCTCAAGCAGATGCCTCTTCAGGGCGCGCAAGAGATGATAATCCGATGAAGCACTTCCTGGGTTATTCGGTGGATGTGACACCGTGGTTCAGCAGAATTCTTCTGAAAAGTGGAGAGTCGATTTCGAATTTTACTTTATTGAGCGTTATCCTGGAGAAATGCGACACTAAGTCGTTTCGAACTCTTTTCACGCACTACTGCAGCCAACTTCTGGATTTCTTTCGTGTTACTCTAGACAGTGGTTGGATTTCTCCGAGAGGATTGATTGAAGACGGAGGGTACTGTCAGACTAATGAGGCTGTTAAGGTCGAAACATATGTATCGGGCTCTGTAAGTTGCCCTATAACAGATACATGCACAATCCCAATAATGTAGAGTGTGTGCAGAAACAATTGCGTCAACCAGGACTCGAACCCAGATGTCACTCTTTCCGGGACCGCGTGTTGGACCGTTGCACTAGCGACGCTCGTTTTGCAGAGCACTCTTTCTACGTCACAACGCGTTTCTGTCAACAGCTAATGATCTATGGTCTGACGAGGATTCATTGTGACATCACGCCACAATACGTGGTCAAATACATGCACAGCTCAAAAAATGATCATCAGACAAAAAAAATCTTGTAGAGCAACCGAAAATATGTTCATTTGCGAAAAGAAGTGGTTATCTCGTCGAAACATACGAATTTTTTCAACAAGTGTGCATCCTTTTTCTAGAATATTGACTACATGAGTCTCTTTTAAGATATTCCATCATTTGATAATCACATTTGTTCTCATAACCACATAAAGCATGGGTTGCTTTACAAGTTGAAAGTCAACTAACACATTACAGACGTCTCTCATTTCTATTTTTGCTAAATAATTTAATAACGTTTCACAAGAAAGATTCATTTGAGGTATTTTAATTGTACTCATGCTCTAAAAACTTAAATGTATAAGTTTGAGAAATAATCCTTTCTGATTTCTGTCAAACCTCTCAGTAAACTTTTGAAGTAAGCATTGAATCATCACTCTGTACACTTACTTGATTTCCTGCGTTACTCTGATTGATTAATACCCGTGTGACTTGCCAATTTTCTGCTGTAACGATTAATACAATGAATATTGGTTCAACAGAATCTGTGGTTTTGTGGTCCTCTCCAACTAGTATGTTATGGTTAGTACAGAGGCAATGATTGAAGTGATTTCATAAATCTCTAACGAAGAGAAGTTTGCCTATATTCTTTCGTGACATTCCCAAATTCTTGAGACTTGCTAATTTATTGCTGTCGTAATACTGCATCAAACATCAGTTCAATAGAGATAGTTGTCTCAAGCACACCACAATTTAGTTTCAATTTCCGCCGACAGTGACAGTAGCCGAGAACAAGTGCGATCCGAATGAACCGGATGCCAACATCCGAACTGCTCTGTTCAATACATTCTGCCACATCGATCTCGACCAGTTCGCCATGATCATGTTTGTGGTCTATGCAAGTTCTTTTCTTTTCAAATCAAAGTTGTAAATTAAAAAAGCCATTCAAACCGTGAGAGTTCCTGAAACTGACGTGTGACTAGCGGGAATAGCCTCTACTTTATTGTTGTTTGTACACATCCTTTGTTTCATCTTTACATTGCAAATTCCAGTCACTGTGTTGTCGACGATGATGCAGTTCTGTGGCATCGCAGGATCGACTGCAAGTAATTATGAGCGTTAGGAAGTTTCTTCTATCACATTAGAAAACTGAAAAACCATAACATTCTTTAAAACCCTTGCAGCCATCAGTTGACACATTGAATATCTTATCACCTCGAGTCAAAGATGTGGGGAACTTTTAACAATAACATTGATTTAATGGTTTCAATTTCAGTGTAATTATAATATTTTTCACAAATTCTATAACAATCCTCACCGGTTAGTCCAATTTTTTTGGACAATAACAGACATAGTTCCTCTTTTGTAATAGCTGTTACAATTGTGCTTACTTCCAAATGTTTTTTTGTATTGAACGCCCACCTTCAGGCATCGCAGCCATTGGACTGTCAATAATTATCTGGCACTGCATTGGCTGGTAAGTGACATTTATAGTAAGCTGACCCAAAATGGTCGAGATTAAAGCATCGGGTAGGAGTGCGCTGCGACCTTGGTTTTCGAGAACATCAAGTACCTGAAGTACAACGTCGAACTTAGTCAAAGAATCTGTTAGAAAGCCGGTTTTATAGAGTTACGTAAAGCTAAGGATTCTTGCTAATATCAGGAAATAAAAAGTTGTCAGAAATTGAAACTAGCTTCCTATGCCCTGTCACTATTCGCAAAGAAAACTTGGATCTAAGTGTTTAAAGCTCACCGTTTGCATTACAAGGCGTTCTACAAATCCTTTAGCTTGCGCCTCGCTGGTTGCAATACCAGGTATTCTAGCAGAATTTTCAGGTTTCATAGTATAAACCATAGCAACAGGCAAAGTTGTTAGGCCCGTGACGGTGAACGTTCTAGTGCTCACTGCAACGAAATTTCGCAATATTCTCAGTGTATAATAGAGAATCGAATCATTACGTTGTAAAGATGAGTATATGTTTTCCTTTTATTACTTATAAATCAAGATTTTCAATTAAAATGCCCAATTGCGACAGCCCTAGTGCGCTGATGAAATGTTAAATATTCATTTTGAGTGGGATGTATAAAATAACATCGCATGGGAAACGTTTGTGACATAATGACAACCCTTCAAATTTTACCTTGACCTGCAGGTATGACTCCACATCCCAACACTGTCGAGAACGCGGTTAACAATGAAATCATAGAGGGAGCGGTCGAAGTCTGATGTCTCGCCATGTTTGCAAGAATATTCACCTTTGTTTCATGAAAATCAAAGTAATCAATGAGAGTGAACAGAAATCAGATGTTACATTTCTTGTATCAGATAATTCACAAAGCAGAACGGAATCAACGCTCGGCACTCATGGTGGGTGACATCCTCATTTTGCTCTTTGGCTTTTCGAGAGCTTCAGTGGCTTCCATCTCACATACATCAAAACCAAATTATCCGGGATAGATTTATGACAGATTCTGCCATTCTGTAGCACAAAAGAGTTAACTGAGTAGGTTAAATGCTTATCGTAAATCAAATGACAATGAGCTACGCAAAAAAGGCCAATAAAAATATTACCAAAAATTGCAGAAATTCCTCATGTAACGCGGCTTGAATTCGGTTCCCGCCTTCTTATTTCTAATGCTGCTGCTCCGACTTTTCCAATAAAATCATATTCACTTGAAAGAACACCGGCGCTGCAAGTGCACTTTCACGGGAGGAATTGTAAAAGCATATTGATTGACAGAAAAGAAGCATATTTCGGAATGAGACGTTTTTGGCTACAAATATCTAAGATCGAGAAATCGCGTTTATTAGGCTTTGATGTTCCCATTAGCTCTCCATTCTAGTGCTTTTGATAAAACCTTCTCATTGATTCGGGAGCCGCCTGCTGAATTCAAGAGAAAACTCCCTAGAATTTCAGTGAATGATTTGCAGAGAGGCGATGAAGGAGATGTGATCAAAAATAAACCAATATGCTTAAACAAAGGAAAAATCGTACTCACCTGGCGGTACAAAACATTGTATGAAGGCATTAGGTGTTTCCAAGAGTGAGAGGAATCTTTCGCTTCAACAGAATCGTCTATGTATCGAAATAGAAATGTACGGTGATCGTCAGAAAGCAAATAGACGACCTGAGCAGAAAATTTCTTCACTCAACTTCTCAAATGCTCCAAATTCCTCAACGAAGTGAATTTTACGGAATGCGATCAATTTCATGCAATTTCTCCACGATATGCAGACAAAACAAAAATTATTATTGTACATTTCGCATGGTGAGGAAGTCTCATTTTAGTTGTGTAACGGATGCAACACTCGTTATTCACTTTACAAAAATGGTTTGCAGCATACGATGGATTGCACTTCGTATTTTGTGAAGCTCCTCATGAATGGGTGCTTTTCTAAAGTAATGAAAAATTTTTTGGATGTGTGCAAGTGTGTAAATATTACGGCGTCGGCTGCTTTTAGCAGCGGATTTCTCTCGCTAAACTCAGTGAATCGTAAAGCACCGTGCAACTGAGGATGCTGAAAAGCCGAAACACGTGCCTTGCACTGTATAGGCGTCTTTTAACAGACCTCACGCAAGCTTCAAAAATAACTTATCAGACATATAGAATTTCGAGCGAGGTCTTAAGAAACACTCGAAGCGGCAGGTATGATGTTTTGGGAAACGCAATGTATACAGTGCGAATCTCATTTTATTAGTGAGCGACTTGATGTCTGAAGTAGAAATTCTCACTTCCAACTTCACGGGATTTTTCAGAGTGGGGACGGAATGAATTCTGTTCCGTTTATTTATTGAATAAGACATAAGAAAATCGACAGTGCTGTAGGATTAGCGAACCTGTTTTGAATTTTCACGAACTCTGACAGAAGCTAAAACACAGCTGTGGCAATTTCCGATAGGAGCAGTTTTGTTATTCGCATTGCTATTTTGAAATAGTCCCATTCTGAAGCAATTTCTCGCTCAAACAGTTTTGTATCACAGAAGCTCCGTGTTTCAGTCGCTTCGTGTCATTTGATGTGAATTGATAAGCGACGAGCAGTTTCATAACAGTGTTCTCTCTGCACTTTCGATACGAAATCATGCAAAGTGATCAAATGCTAGCGCTAACTCTGTAAAACTACTTCATTGATGATCATGTAGTGCTATCGATTCACAAAACTATTTTAGAGTGAAATGCCGTTACCTTCATCACCTTCGTTCCGTTTATAATTGACTGACTCAAGCGGGCGCCAGTAAGCCTTCCGTTTTCTCTTATCGCGTACAATAGTCATTCAGTGGGTTTTTTCTAGCTGTACTAATTTATAGGTATAAATCTGTTTTGTAGGCTTTCCGTGAAGGAATTAACCCATCGGGTCGGAAGTCCTTTTGTGCTCCGTTTGATATACTCGAAGAATTCAGTTAGTAACACTTCTTGTCATCGGCATTGTACCACGCTTCCGGCTCACCTTTCGGAACATAAATCTGCGTCTTTAGCTTTTGATCGTTTACGCAAATCAGGAGTTTTGTTCCATGACTCCGCCATGTAACGTCGCTTATGACATCCACAAAAACCCTTCCCCGGAACACACGTTGGTAGAGAAGTCAACGGCGTAGGCGTCCTCGTCACCACGAAATTTGTCCATTAACATCGTATATTCGAACGACTGACTATTCACATTAGATGTTTGAGTAAATGATGTGGATCATGAAAGCGTTTGTTTTCTACGCATTGACATCAAATATGGCAAAAGCGAGGTCAAAGCCTTCTATGTGGATCTAAATAAGTTCAGAAAGAGGCACAAACTTCAAAAGTCAGAAACTCTATTTAGAAGGCCGCATAGTTAACCAATTTATTCCGAGAACTATTTAGTCTTCATCGAGCTGTTTGTGAACGTCACTTCATATAGATACA